GCTGCTGCTGCTGTTGCTGCTGCTGCTGTTGCTGCTGCTGCTGTTGCTGCTGCTGCTGCTGTTGGTGGTGGTAGTGGTGCTGCCGCTGTTGCTGCTGCTGCTGCTGCTGCTGTTGGTGGTGGTGGTGGTGCTGCTGCTCCTGCTGTTGCTGCTGATGTTGCTGCTGCTGCTCCTGCTGTTGCTGCTGATGCTGCTGCTGCTGATGTTGCTGCTGCTGCTGCTGGTGTTGCTGGTGATTGTGGTACTGCTGCTGTTGGTGGTGGTGGTGGTGCTGCTGCTGCTGATGATGATGCTGTTGATGCTGCTACTGTTGCTGATACTGATGCTGTTCCTGTTCTTGCTGCCCCTGCTGACGCTGAAGCTGCTGCTGCTGTTGCTGCTGTTGCTGATGCTACTGCTGATACTGCTGCTCCCGTTGTTGTTGCTGTTTTGGCTGCGGCTGCTGGCTTTGCTGCTGTTGCTGTTGCTGGTGCTGCTGCAGTAGTGCATATGAATGTGCAGCAGCAGCGTTCTCTGTCGTTTTTGCTGCTGCTGCTGCTGCATCATCTGCGGTGTACCTCCAGCATAAATAAAGGTTTGTTTGCTTCTACACGCATTAGCGCATGCAGCAAGAGCAGCAAAAGAAAGAAATATTCTTTTTTGTTTTAATGCAGATATTCCTTTGCCAGGTCTGCGAGTGGAGAGGGTACCCCATGTAATATTCGTCAAGAGAGAACAAGAAAGCAGCAGCAGCAGCAGCAGCAGCAGCAGCAACAGCAGCAGTGGTAGTAGTAGTGGGGCCTTGGTGGATTCTACAGAAGCAGCACGTGCTGCAGCAGAAACAGCAGCAGCAGCAGCAGCAGCAGCAGATAATGTAGAGGCTTATGCCTGGCGTATAGGAAGTGGGAAGTACAGCAAACAAATAATAACTTTCTCGCATGCAGAAAGAGATACTGTTGCATATGGTGAAGAATTTATTTTAAAATATGCTGCATGCAGACAAATAGATTTAAATGCAAACTCAGATTGCAGCAATAAAGACATAGAAGACCTCTAAATACTACTCGTACATATATGCACAAACACAAACGAAAGAATATATATATCTACACTTACATATACATACATATATTTATACATACATATATATATATATATATATATATATAAATGCATGCATACATATATATATGTATGCGTAAATATACCTGTGCATCTATTTGTAATATATATATATATATATATTATATATATATATATTACAAATAGATGCATATGTATATGCTGTGCTTGACGCTAGCCAGCAACTTTTTATGTTTTTTATTTGTACATACACCGCAAGTGCGGTGCAGTTATAACAATTTTAAATTTCTTCAATAATTTTAATTATTCTTCAACTATTAATTTGTATTTTGTTTTGGTGTTTTCCCCTGGAGCAGCAAATTATTTCTTTTTGTCTATTTATGTGTATCGTTATTATTAATTTTATTATTATTAGTTATTATTAATTTTTTTATTACGCATTTATTTTATTTTATTTTATTACTGTCCATTACTAATATTAATATTATTATTATTATTATTAATTATTATTATGTGGGCGGAATAACAATACTGAGAACTGCTGGATAGCACTTGGCCTCATAGGTGAAGCAGTTTGCTGCTGCTGCAGCAGCAGCAGCAAACTGCAGCAGCAGCAGCAGCAGGGTCTGCAGTCTATATGCGTCGTCAGTCGTAGCATTTGAACCAAAAAAGTAATGAGAGCAGAAGCAAAAGAAGAAAACATAATAAAAAAGAAACAACAGGAAAGAAACCGCAGCAGAAAACAAGTGCTGCAGTTATACAGCAGCAGCAGCAACAGCAGTAGCAGCATGCATATAATAAATAAACCATAATTAATAAGAGTTACAATTAATAAATGATAATAATTAAAGACAAATAAAATTAAAAAAGAAAGATAATCCCTATTCAAAAAACCAGAGGCTGCTGATGCAGCTGCTTGCTGCAGCACCTTGAGGCTGCTGCAGCAGCAAACCCTGCTGCTCTGGGACAGACACAAGCAGCCAATCACTGCTGCTGCTGCTGCTTCTGCTGCTGCTGCTGCTGCTCCTGCAGCGGCTGTGGCGGTTCGGCTCTACTCGCTTGCTGCAGAAGCAGCAACAGCTGCCGCCATTGTTGCTGCTGTTGCAGCAGCAGCCATGCTTCCCCTGCTGCTGCTTCTGCTGCTGCAGCTGGGATTGCCGCCGCTGCTTCAAGCTGCTGCAGCAGCTGCTGTTACAGCTGCTGCTGCTGCTGCTACTGCTGCTGCTGCTGCAAGGAACGCCTTTGCTGCAGTTCGCATTCAACAAACAGGTATGCCCTCTAAAGCTGCACGCTGCCTGGTCACTGCTGCAGCAGCAAGCTGCAGGAGACTGCTGCTTCTGTTGCTGCTGCTGCTGCAGCAGGAGCAGCAGATCGTCAACTTGCTGCCGTAGCGTGCTGCACTGCTGCTGCAGCGAGTTGTGCTCCTCCAGCAGCAATTCATACTCTTTTGAATGCTGCTGCTGCTGCTCCGGCTGTTGCCGTTGCTGCTGCTCCTGCTGCTGCAGCACTTGCAGCTGCTGCTGAACTTCCGCCAGTGTCTCCTGCAGCTGTTCATTCTGCTGCTGCAGCACTTCTAATCGGTGCTGCTGCTGCTGCTGTCGCTGCTGTTGCTGTTGCTGCACGCTGTTCTTGCCTTCAAGTTGAATTCGCAGCTCCTCTCTTTCTTCTATACACCTCAGGAGTTCGTGCTGTAGCTGCTCGTGTTGTTGTTGTTGCTGCTGCTGCTGTTGCTGCTGCTGTTGCTGCTGCTGCTGCAGCAACAGCAAGTGCTGTTCTTTGGTCCTCAACTGCTGCTGCAATTCGAAATACTGCTGTCTGCTGCTCTGTAGCTCATCCAGCAGAAGCTCGCGCTGCTGTTGCTGCTGCTGCTGTTGCTGCTCCTGCTCTTGTTGATGTTGCAGCTGCTGTTCTTGTTGCTGCTGCTGCTGCTGAAGTTGCCTTTGCAAGCAGTGCAGCTCTTGTTGCAGCAGCAGCTCCTGCTGTTTGTGTTGCTGCTGCTTCGTTTCATGCTGCTGCTGCACCTGCTGCTGTTGCTGTTGCTGCTCCTGCAGCTGCTGCTTCAGCTGCTCGCACTGTTGGGTTACGGCTAGGAGTTGTGCTTGCAGCTGCTGCTGTTGCTCTTGCTGCTGCTGCTGCTGCTGCAACTGAGATTCAAGCTGCCGCTGCAGTGATTTGCGCTGTTGCTCCCTCTTCTCCGCTTCCTCTTGCAGCTGCAGCAGCTGCTGCTGCTGCTGTTGCTGCTGCTGTAATATCTGCTGCTGCAGCTCAGTTCGCTGCTGCGCAGCCTCTGATAGCTCTGCTTTTAGTCCTTTCTGCTGCTGCTGCTGGAGCTGCTGCAGCCTCTGCAGCTCCTCGCTGCGCTTCTGTGACTCCTGCTGCTGCTGCAGCAGCAACTGCTGCTGCTGCTGCAGGTCTGATTCCTTCTTCTTAAGCTGTTCACGAAGGTTCTTTTGCTGCTGTGTGCTCTCCTTGAGCTCGTTGCGTAGTTGCTGCAACATCAAGTGCTGCTGCTGCTGTTGCTTCTGTTGCTGTTGTTGCTGCTGCTGCTGTTGTTGTTGCTGCTGCTGCTGTTGTTGTTGCTGCTGCTGCAGTTGCTGCTTCATGGCCTCCATCTGTATTTGTAGCTGCTGCAACTCTTCTGCTTTGCGTCTCAGGTCGTTGTGCAGTTGCTGCTGTTGCTGCTCTCCCTGCTGCAGCAGCTGCTGCTGCTGCTCTCCCTGCTGCAGCTCCTGCAGCAGCTGCGCATCCTTGGCTGCAATCTGCTGCTGCAAGTCCTCTAGTCTCAGGGCTGCTCTTGTCAGCTCTTCGCGCAGCAAGAGCTGCTGCTGTTGCTGCTGCTGTTGCTGCTGCTGGTGCTGTTCGTGCTGCTCTTTCTGCTGCTTGATCATCAACTCCGTAACCTCTTGCTGCTCGTGCTGCAGCTGCTGCTGCTGCTGCTGCTGCTCCACTGCTACATGTAAGTCTGTTCTTAGGCCCTGCAAAAGCTGCAGCAGCTCTTCTCTACACCGCCTCTGATTTTCTTGCTGCTGCTGTTGCTGCATCCGATGTTGCTGTTGCTGCTGCTGCTGCTGCTGCTCTAGGCGCTGCACCTGCAGCAGCAGCAGCTTCTCCCGCTCCCTCTCTGCCTCCTCAGTCTCTCGGAGTTGTTGCATTTGCTGCTGCAGTTGCTGCACAAGCTGCTGCAGCTCGCTGCAGCGCCACTGAGCATCATCTCGTTGCTGCTGCAGCTGCTGCGCCAGTAGCAGTAGCTGTTCATGCGGCTGCTGCTGCTGCTGCTGCTGCTGCGTTAGTGTCTCAGACGGGCTGCGAGTATCTGATGCATGCACGTCTTGCTGCTGCTGCTGCTGCTGCTGCTGGACTGGGCCAGAGTTGGTGGCTTGCTGCAGCAGCAGCAGCACTTTTCTCATTGCACTGCTTGCATGTTCAGCGAGTTGTTTGTCTTTTGCTTCTGTTTTCTTCTGCTGCTGCAGGAGGTCTCGTTGCTTCTGCAGCAGCCCCATGTGCTGCTGCTGCAGCTGCTGCTGCTGCTGCTGCAGCACATTCTCTCGCTCATGAAGCAGCTGCTGCAGCTGCTGCAGCTCCTCCTTTTGTGTCTCTAGCTGCTGCTGCTGCTGCTGCTGCTGCGCCTGAAGCTGCTTCTCTCTTTCTGTGAGTTGTTGCTGTTTAGCATCAAGATCCTCTTTCAAATGCTGCAAGAGCTGCTGCTGCTGCTGCTGCTCTTCATGACTCTGTTGCTGCAGCTGGTGCTGCTGCTGCAGCTGTTGCTGCTCCTGTTGCAGCTCAGCCCTTAGCGTTGCTACCGCTTCGCGTTCAACTTCCAGCAACTGCTGCTGCTGCTGCAGCTCCTGTTGTACCTTCTCCTTTCGGATCTCAAATAGCTGCTGCTGCTGCTGCAGGGCAGCCTGGTGCTGCTGCAACTCTTGCTGCTGCTGTTGCAGCTCTTGCTGTTGCTGTTGCTGCTGCTCCTGCTGCACCTCATGCTCCCGTTGGCTGCGCTCGTAGTCGTCGCTCAGCTCCTCAAAGTCTTCTCGCAGTTGCTGCAAACACACCAGCAGCAGCAGCAGCAGGAACTTCTATACAGCTAGCAGCAAGCGACCAGCAGCAACAGCTGGAAATGCTGTCGAGACAGCAGCAAGAGCAGGAGCAACTATTGGCGCTGCTGATATATAAACAGTAGCAGCATCAGCAGCAGTAGCAGCAGCACGATCGTTAATGGCAGCTAAAATTACCTCAAGCTCACGGGACTGCAGCAGCAGCTGCTGTTCCTTCTGCTGCAGCAGCAGCAGCAACTCAGAGGCTTCCGCTGCAGCAGCAGCTGCTGCTGCCTCTGCTTCCTCCCCAGAGTCCTTCGCCTCATCCTGGGCAGCTTGCTGCAAACAAATAAGCCTTTGCTGCTCTAGCTGCAGGAGTTCTGCTGCAGCCGCTGCAGCTGCTGCAGCGGCTGCTGAGCTCGGCGGGGTGTCCCCCCCTGCTGCGGGCATTAAGCCAGGACGAACATATCTCAGCTTCTGTCGAGAAGGATTCAATTTTTAGCTGCATCCTTCTTCACTGCGGTGTATGTACAGCGTAGGAGCAAGAAGGTAGATACACACACCTACAATCTTGCTCGTCTGGTTTAATATTGCATTTTATTCACATGTTTACATCAATACTTTCAAACATTTCATCAAATATCAGCGGAGTTTCTCTTCGTTGCTACCTGCAGCTTCCCTTTGGTTTGCTGGTGTTGCATGTCTGTGTTGTACGTACACCGAAAGAAGGGAAAGCAGCGGAAAATTGCGGTTAAAATGAGTCTATTTCTCCGATCTCGTGGATCATTTAAATTAAAATACGATATTAATTCATTTGAATCAAAAGAAATAACAAAAAGGATGCAGTCAGCCCTGCAAACGAATAACAGAAAGCCGCTCGCAAGCGCCTGTGTTGTGTTTGGGTGGCGATCTGCAACGAAATCAAAAAAGTAGAAATTTTAATTAAATTCAACAAAAGAATAAATAATTTGTTTTTCCTTTTTATTTTACTTTAATTATATACTTTTCTTCTTTTTACCGCTGCTTTCTTGTATTTCTGCGGCCGCTCCCGATGCTGATGCTTCGCCGTAACACCTGTAGATTTTCTTTTTCAATCGAATAATTAAATTAATTCCTTTTGTTTCTTTTGCAGATTTTTAAAATTACAATAATTAAATTGACTTGTTTTTGCTTTTCTTCATTTGTCTACGAATTTTTTCAGTGGTTGAAGAGCAAGCTAAACATGAATTTATTGACTGCCGTTCTTATCATATTAATGAAGATATTGCACTAAAATTTCTGTGCTTTTTCTTTGGCTTAAGAAGATAAAACAGAGTATTTAAATTATTTCCTTTAATTGATTTATTTAATTACTGGATTCCACTACCTACTTCTCTGTATTCACGCCATCCGTCCCCCTTCCATCGCTCGCTTTAATTGTACTTTTAATTCTTCGCTTTTAATCATTTTCTTTCGCTCACCTTCCTAATTACTTCTCTTTATTGTGCAGTTTACTGCTTCGTCTCTATTTGTCTATTTTTACTATTTACTTGCACTATTTATATTGGCCTTGTTTGTTTTTATTCTTTATTTTTAATGACAACAAAATACTACTATTACTTCATTAATAATAACAATATTAATACTTTTAATAATAATAATACTAATAAAGTTATTCGCCTCAGTGGCTTCTTTCGCTTTATTATATGCTAAAAAGACAGCAGAAAAAACAACAAAAATATTATTATTAGTTTTTTATTAATAATAAGAATATTATTAATAAAAAATAATAATAACAATAGCAATAATAATAAAGAAGTTAATCGCTTTCCATTGCTTCAATAGCATCTTTAGCTTTATTAACAGCAGCAGCAACTCTATCAGGTACCCACAACTCGTAGACAGGCTCTCCTTCTTTAATACTGAGGGAGCTAACCTCAAACTCTACTTTATCTTCTGTTTGTCTTTCTTCTTGTAACACCATTAATATACGGATCAACTCTTCTCCAAGCTCTTGGGGGCTTAAAGAAGATAAAGATAACTTCTCTAACTCTGTCTTTGCTGCTGGTCTATTTCTTCCTGCTGCTGTTCCCAGATATCGAGAGCTGCAGCCACTTGGGTCAATAGAATATATCTCTCCTGCAAAATATAAATAAAATAAACAAACAAACAAACATATATATATATATATTATGCACATGAATAAGTAAGCATAAATACATTTAAATAGATAAATACATATATATATACGTACATAAATAAATAAATATATGTAATATTGCATGCAATAAAACAAACAAACTAACGAAAACAACTAAACAAACAAAAAATAAACAAACAAAGAAATAAACACCTAAAACAATCAAATGAACAAAACAATAAAAGAAGAATACCTTCGACTCGCTGCTATCGCATGACAGTGTTGTGCATATACACTTGCATGCACAAACCAAACAAACAAACAAAACAAAGCAAAGGAGAATAAAATAAAATAAAATAAAATAAAATAAACTAGAATAGAATAACACAGAATAAAGCAAAACAGACTAAAACAAAATAAAACAAAACGAAATAAAGCAAAACAAAACAGGATAAAATAAAATAAAACAAAACAGAGTAAAGTAGAATAAAGAAAAATAAAGAAGAATATATATATATATATATTTGCATGCATGCAAGCATAAATATAAAGAAGAATAGAAATACCTTTAAGCTCTTGATATCCTGTTAAGGGATCTTTCTGGAGGCCTCCTAATATACAAGTTGCACCAAAAGGCCTAACATGCCAGTAGAGAGTAAATGCATGCATAAATAAAGCTATTCTTTCAGCTAAAACACCCAAGGGTATAGACACCCCGTAATGCTTTAAATACGATTGAGCTTCTTCTCGAGCTCTGTGCCATAGTTGGCGACCGTCAGCTGATAAACCCGCTACCACCAAACCTGCACACATGCATGCATGCAGATATAAATATAAATGTAAATATCAATGTAAATATAAATGTAAATATATATATATATATATATTTATTTATTTATGCTTGCATGCATGCAAATATATATATATATATATATATATTTATATTTACATTGATATTTATATTTATACTTATATTTATATGCATATATAAACGTATATTAAGAATTATTATTATTATTACTATTATTATGCAGTTCTATCTGATATAATGTATTATAATAATGTATTCCTATATTTGCATGCATGTATGCAGACACACACATATATTCTTTTCTATTTGTATTATGTTGTTGTTATTTAGTGTTGTAGTTATTGGTGTGCATGCACGCATGCAAATACAGAAATAAATCCCTACAAATCATCAATAGTATTATTGTCACTGCTGTTGATATATATATTATATATTTATAGGCGAATTTATATATATGTATATATATATATATATATATGCATGTACATATATATATATATAGCATACATATAGATAGATACCGTTATTACGTGTATATATGAATATATATATGCATATATACATATATATATATATATATTCATATATTGATAGTATATATACATAAATATATATATATATATATATATATATATAGATTATCTATAATACATATTGTACACATTGTACGATATGTATTGCCTCTCTAGGCGGAGAATATTAAAAACATATTAAAAATAAAGATACAAACAACAAAAAGAGAATGAGACGCACATGCATGCAACCATCAAGGAGAAAGAAGAAACAGACAAACACACTCTAAACCCTAAACCCTAAACCCTAAGCAGAAGTACGAATAAAGACTGCAGAAGACTTTCAAGCGGTAAAACCCTAAACCCCAAACCCTAAATGATAAAAGCCCTCTTACAAAATAATATACAGCGTTAATACCTCCACTGCAAACCCTAAACCCTAAACCCTAAACCCTAATTACCTATATCTTTAGTGACGGGGTATATCCTTCTATTGGAACCTTGTGCAAGCATAACAGAGCCCTTTGGCTTCTCTACAGCAAAAGCAACGCCTCCTTTGCATGCAGCAGCAACACAAAGTGCTGCATTATCTACGGCTTTAGCTGCATACTCCACCTGAAAAAGCAGTAAAAAGAAGCAAATATAAATAAACAAGAAAATATAAATAAGAGCAAATAAACTCCTACAAAGGAGCAATAAGAATACACTAAATGCAGCAAATTAATAAACAATAATATATACACCGTATATAGACAATAATACAAATGCAATAAGCAAGAGACAGAGACAAAGTAATAAATAACACAACTGCGATAGACAGGGAGGGGGGTGAGGGTTGCTGTTGTTGTTTAGCAGCAAGAAGGATATAAACCCTTAGGCAAACCCTAAACCCTCAACAGGAGGGTTTAGGGTTTGTCTAGGGGTCTTAGGGTTTAGGGTTTAGGGCGCCTCATGAAGCTCAAGGCAAGAAGACAATAGTAAAGCCCCAAGCGGGAAACCTTGAAACCCTAAACCCTAAGCCCTAAACCCTAAACCCTAACCGCTCCAGAAAAGAGTGTGAGCTAAGGCGTTGGTGTGCAAGGAAGTAGTGTTTAGGGTTTTGAGATCCCCGGCTTCTGCGTTTAGGGTTTAGGGTTTAGGGTTTAGACGCACCTGAAATACCCGTCCATCGGGTGAGAAAGTGGAGACAGAAAGATCATAGCCTGATCCTAAACCCGCCATGTTCGGGTTTTCTCGTGGTTTCTCGAGGGTTTAGGGTTTAGGGTGTAGGGTTTGAATGCAGAAATGCACAAGCTGTTGAATGGCGTACCTCTGCATGCCCTATGCAGATCAGCACGCGTTATTTTCGTGATTTTCAACAATAAATGCCGAATTTCGGCACTTTTATTGCAAAATTAATGCAAAATACGGAGCAAAACCCCAAAAAATGAACGCCGCAGCATGCGGGTCTGTCGGCAGTGAGCAGAAAAGTTTGAGGTGTATAGGCAGCTGCTGCTTACGTTCATTCAAGAGTTAAACCCGGAATAAATCGGCAAATATTGCAGTAAAATTAATATTAATTGGATATTTAGTCAATATTAGGATTTATTTTTGCTTTTCTCGCTTTCTCAATCCACACACGGCTACACTTTGGGGCTGACACCCCTCCGTTTGTTTAAAACAATTCAAGAATTCGTTCTTTTTACTAGAGGAAAGAGTTTAATTAGTTTTATTTCATACCCTTTATATACGTAAATACTTACACTCTTCTAAATATACTCTTTGCAGATGTAAATATCCACAGATGTCTCTGTACTTCAGAGCGTGTAAATATCAATTAGCGTTTCTCTGTTATGTACACATGTAAATACACGCATATACAAAAGTATCTCCAAAGGAATATATATATATATATACATATATGTATATATGTACATATATGTATATAGGCATTGGGCACTGGGGGTTCGTATCCCGTTTGTATAAACAGATGAATGCACATGCATATACAGAAGTATCTGCAAAGGCATATATATATATATATATATATTATAAATACATATATATACATATAGATGGACATATGGCCGCTAAGCAAATAAGAAGTGTGGCAAAATAGCCTTTAGCATGTGCGGGGCACCTCCTTAGGCGCCAGGACCCCAAACCCTAAACCCTAAACCTTAAACCCCACCCCCCCTAAACCCTAAAGCATTAATCACAAGCCCCAACCCCTCAGTGACTAACGCTAACTCCCGAATTCTACCCCCCAGACAGCAAACCCTAAACCCTAACCTCCAACCCGTAAATCTTAAACGCTAAACCCTAGAAGATAAAACCCTAAGCACTCTTTTATGTAGTTGCACTTATTAATAGGCCTGAACCTGTCTTTTCGGTTTTTGTTTTTATTCTCCACTTCAATTGCCAAACACCTTTTTAGGTTTATTCTCCTCATTCTCTGTTTTGCGTTCTGTCGTAACATAAAATAAACAAAAAATAAATCTGACCCAACTGAGGTGTACGTGCATATTTTGCATGCAACCCTCTCTCTCTCTCTTTGTCTCTCTCTGCCTCTGTCTCTGTCTCTGTCTGCCTATATATATATATATATA